TCAAAATATCTTTGAACTCAAAGAGCGAATCGATTATACTCAGAATGGCAAGAATTTTTGCTTTAATTTTAGTGTTATAAATTTTATACTACACTTCATAACATTTACATGTAGCAAATATATGGATAAAAACGTATCAAATCATACAGTAGATAGAAAGTCTTTTTTCTTTATTGGATTACCTCTATAGACTATAAATAATAGATAGTAATCAACGTAAGCTATCTAATATATGAGCAGTTTTTTTGTACTGTGAGATAAATTTCCTCAGAAAAAATTAGTAATCATAAAAGTGCAGATAGTAATTTTAGCATTTATTTTTTATTTTTGTATTTAAATGTAGAAAATCAGACTAAAATATTTTTCATGCTATTTTTCAGTTGCTTTTATCTGTTAAAATAATACTTGATGATTGATACACTCTAAAAAGTTAATGGTCGAGTCCCATAGTTAGATTTATAATCTTGTGTTAATTTCTCATTTGACAAAAAATAGTGGAGTCTTTTTCGAATTATTAATAGTAAATCCAACAATATAATTCTTTCAGTGTAGGAAATTTTATTTTATAAAATAAAAGGATTCATAGAGAGTCGAACGTAAAGTCAAGATAATAAAAATTTATATCAAATTAGGATTTTTATTGGACAAGTAGAAATACTTGAGTAAATTTGAAATAGATACTTAAAAATTTTAATATTACAATCAATTTTTATACTTAATTTATGTTTACATTTAAAATCAAGTGCAGCAGTTCAGTATTTATTCATATCATCAATAATATCAAAATAGAATTGGAATAAAGACATCCAAAGATAAATGCCCACAAAAATATAGATGCCAGAAATTTTCATTACAGACAAGAAGTTAAAGGAAATTGTCGGCCATAAAATATATTTTATCCATTAAATGTACGTTTTCTTCAGTACATATAATTATAAGAAATCTCTATTTTCGAAAATTTATGTAAACTCAGTCAAATATAGTTTATAGCAGCTACTTTACCACAGCATAAATTACATTTCCTCACAATTATGCAAGCAATACTCTTGATTTACGATTTATCGCCGTCATTTCAGAGATTTCAATGTAAGCAATTCAATAAGATGATTTTCTCAATCTTCTCATAAACACGTACAGTGTATAATTTCCGGTTTGTTAGATGTCATGTCATTGAGTAGAACACTGTGGACATTCGTTGGTCATTTTTCTATTCCGTTGGCAACGTCAACGGAGTATATGCTATTATTTCCAAGATGCAAACTCTGTTGTCTTGTATCTATGAGTTTACTGCAATACTACGCTCTACCTCACCAAGACCGATGTCACTTTGGGTTGATGCATATTTCAGCCGAGCTGACTCAGACGACCAACACCCAGGCACTAACTGGCAAATCTCTCTTGTTGGAAAATGTCGAGTCACCCACGAATCCTGTCGTCGAGACCGCTGTCTCATGAATCACTGACAACGAACTACAGCTAGTATACGTTGGAGCTTAATCTCTAATCATATTTTTCCTTGTCGACTCACCACTAAAAACTTCATTTTTATTTATAAAACATCCATTCATACATGTTTACAAAATCAAGCCTTTACATTTTTGAATATACTATTCTGTTCTCAGCTATAAAAGACTCACTGCTTAAATTGATTCTTTTTATTGTCACTTTATTCGCATTTAATGAAAATACTAATACGTTATAAGTATTTGTTGGCAATAGGGTCTTAATCTTTATCGTTCTTATAATTTTATAAAGCTTAGGATAGAGATAGGAAAATTCTTTTTAATTATCACTTCCATGAAATCATCTTTATTTTTTGTTATCAACTGCTAACGATCAATTTGTTGGAATCAATACCTACTAGTATTTGGCTTTGAAACTAAATTTTGCTAAAATATGATTCTATAATATTTGTTTGAAGTTAGATAATAATTGTAAAGTTAGACACTATATTTTTTTGTTTTTATTTGAAAAGATTAAAATCATGAAAAGTGTTAATTAAAAATGAAAGAATTAATGCTTTCTAAAAATAAATTGATGAAAATCATTACAAACAGTGAATAATCACTGATTTATTTTTAAAGAGTAGAGACTGTGATAATAAGCTACAAAAGCCTCATTTAATTACTATGAGTTTTTACAATTCTAATAAAGTAAGAATAAAATAATTGCATCGCTCTATCTTGAATACCTTTCTTTCTTCAGCTTCTGAATGGTCCATGAGAGTAATTCGACTCAATAATTAGCTGAAAAAAAATTTCTAAAGCTATTTAACAAATTCTAAAGGCTCATGTATAATTTACACGATGGAATAGAAAAAGTAAAAAAACGTAATATACCAAACTGACCATGAAATTCAATTTTTTTCATTGAGTGAATTCTTAAAAGTGTACAAAAGTAGCTGAAATTGACGATAGAATCAGTGAAAATGCTTCTACGAACTTTATAAATAAATGGGAAGTTTTTAAATCTATTAACTAAAGTTTCCTACAAAATTTATCATTTCTATTTCAATGTTTAAATATTTACTGGATTATTTTCGTAGAAAAGAAAAATATTCATAAATTATTTCATAGTTAAATAAATAAAAAAAAAAATAATTGATGTCATACATCATGGTTATGTATTTTAAAAATGTTTTGTAACAAATATTAAAAGCTTTGAAAATAATGTAGATAATTTTGGCGATGACTGTATGTTGATAAACTGCAGTATTTAATGAATCTTTGAAATGTTTGATGTTTTGTTAATTTTACGTGGAATGAAAAGAAAAGAGAAGCAATAAATTTTTGATGATGAAGCACTGTCTGACAGTAATTAATAAATGACTTCTTTAACGCATGGCATCAAAATGCAATAGCCATTTTGCATTACGACTGCTACGTTTTGGCATGCAGATTACTCACAGCTGTCACTCAGGACGCGCATCAATCTATCAAGTGTCGTTAAAACATGTCGCGGCGTAAAGACGAATATCTATATGGATAGGTGACCTGGCAAAGTACCAACAGAGGCCTCAGCAACACACTTGCCCGTGGTGTATGTCTTGTCGAAAGTTTCTCCTCGATCCAATTCTTGATGCGTCTTAATGATCCTCTTAAAGTACATCGTATGAAATCTGATTAAATTTAATCACGCAATAATTACTTTTATTTCATGCTATTCTCTTTGTTCTTGTAATTCAATTTTCTCTCAAACGTTGATCATTCATCGTTATTTTCAATCACAATTTATAAAATATGCCAGAGTATAATTCTATTTAATTTTGTAATTATAAATGATTTTTATTTTAGATTAGAAAAATATCCAGTGCATGATGATTAGAACGTTCAAGTAGCTATCAATTCAGTTATGCAACTGTTTCTATAATTTTTCGAAATATTAATCAAAAACTCTAAAAATAATGCTAAATCATTTTGTTATAAATTTATTAATGCATAAAATCATTATATAATAATTATTGTAATAAAAAAAAGTTGAAAAAGGAATATCATTGACTTGAAACAAAATTGATAAGTCTAGTAATTTTAAAAATGTAAGCAAAGATTTCAAAACAAATTTCTGTTCAAAATACCTCTTCATGAAGATATGCCATTAATCTGATTGTTTATAATAAATTTCCCCACGTTTTTTCCTTACTCTTATTGCAGCAATTATTTTAACAGCTCCAAAAGAAAATCACATAAAACTCTTAAATAAAAAATACGTCTGTTATTGATTCGGTATTATCTAAAATTAGAAGTGTTGTTTTTCTCGTTGTTAGTCTAAGAATTGGAATTGAATAGTTGTTTATGAGCCTTTTAGTGCCATTAAATTGAAGCAATTTAGAGTTGGAAGCTCAGTAAGTTGATAAGATAAAATATTGACGGTAGAATGTAGATTCGTGTCTTTCGAATGATGGGAGCTGCGGATGCTCGACGTTAACATATAACACAGAAGACGAGATTAATCTGGCGTGAGCGCGTCGCGACGCCCAGCTAATGGCTCGACTGTGCCGCGTGCCAACATCTCAGGCCAAGCAAACGTCAGACATTCATCGGCCCAGGACCACAAGGGCTTGAGTGATGAAGCGAGTGTAGAGTGAGGCCTATTTTTGTGCTCAGCCAACAAACAACCTCGTAGATCTCGTGACACATCGTTAGTGTTTTCCCTCATCTCTTCTTATCCCTTTTGACATACACTTAAATACGTCAAGTGTTTATTTCTAGAAAAACCCATTTTTTATCATTCAAACACTTCCGATACGTACCTTGCATCAAGGAAATTGGGCTTAAAAGAGACTTTGTTAGGAAATTATCCAGGAATTGTTTTGACATTATGCATTCACTAGTTTTGACTTCAAATGCACATGAGTTTCATTTTAATAAGATGTTTTAGAAAAAAATTCAATAAGATGATATATTTAATAAACATAAAAAATGGGACTGGGCGCACTTTTTTCCCTGATGACGAACTTCCCATTAATTGAAATCCGTCATTTTGTCATCTTTTAGTTTTTTTGTTTATAAAAAATTACCATTGTTATAAATAATACATGATTGTCAAGAGTCATAAAGTTATTAACAACCATATTATATTGACCTCATTAGTCAATAATGTTAATCATGTAATAAGTAGAATCTATTTGAAATGTCTTCTTTACTCAACTTATTTTACACTTCTATTGTTATAAAAAGAAAACAACTGGACTGAATTTGTTCAAAATTCTTTCAGATCTTCTTCATTGTTTTATCGTTGAAATTAAATCTGTCTGGAGTTCAAATCTTCAGTGTTTCTTGAGATATCAATATCGAAAAAAAACCGAAAATCGTACGTACATAAATACGCACGTACGTACATACGGACATGTATACATTTATTTTTAAACCTTCTAATATACTTTTAAATGTTTTAAAACTTAAAGATATAATAAAATTACGAAATTTAAAAATCAGCCTTATTGCAATAACTTCCTAATGGAAAGTTAATAATTTTTGAATACAAAATTTTTTTTATTTCAGATTGGAGATTAACTTCAATATCTCTAGCTGCAAATCTTCTTCTGAGATTGATCTTTAGTAAGTAAGCTATCATTTAACCAAAATCAAAGTCGTATAATTAATCAAATTGGATAATCAAACATCACTCTAGATACTAAACTAATTCTTTTTTCTGAATGATCTGTTGGAGAAGTTATTCTAGCCTGGTCTATTGTACCCTGACCTCCTCTTTTGCTATATATCTTGATTGGCTCTCTGAAGGTTTAATATTGACCTGTCAAAAACAAAATTTAGGTGGGTACTCAACTGCAAATTTCACGTTAACTCGTTACTTTGACATACATGTGGCTTTTGCTAGGATTATATGTACTAGCTAAACTTTATTACAATATAGAAGTACCTATAGAGTACAGTTGGCTGCGAATAGAATTTCTAACGGGCGCTGAAAGCCTTTAGGCATTTTCAAGGAAATAGTCTGTAGATGTCAGTGGCAAATAATCGCTGGCCAAGCGTAACTGACGACTGTGTGTTATGCTAAGCTATCAGTGTAATAGAAACCTCAAATTGTTCTCATCTTTTTAGAGATTCGTTTTATTATTACCAATCGATATTTTTAATATATTGCACATACAGTCTTTTACTCTGTCAAGGAAATAACCTTCTCTATATATCCTCCCGTAAGCAGAAAAAGAAGTAAATCACTGAAAGCCCCTAGCGATAGAGGTTTAAGTCTTACCGAGTAGGTCCTTTTCTACTTACATAAGTAGCTGAAGTTGATTGCATTGCTTATGGCTTGAAATAAATTTTGAAGTGTAGTAAGATTTTATCTTGATTCATGAGATGAAATTACTTCTATGAAAATAATAATTAAATAAACAAGACAGTAATTGTGATGATTTAATCAGAAGTGAGTGAGTTGACTTTTCTGCAAGGGTGTCATAATGAAGATTTATCAGAATTGTGCATAATGGTTTTTATTATTAAACCAACTACTATTTTACCATTACTTAACTAAAAAATGAAAGCAAAAATGATTTTTTTCGAATTTATTAAAACATTTTTTGAACATAAAATATTTTGAGAAATTTATTAATAGATGTACAATAATTCAAAGATTTTTTTTCATTACAAATATTGTTTTCTATTTTACTTTTACGATGGTATAAAGAAGAGAAATTATTTTTATAATGAATTCTTTTCAAGTCAGACACTTCTGTTGAAAAGTTATAAGGCCAATTGCTGCACTTCTAGAACACAAATCAAGACTCTTGTAGGAACAATCCGTCAATCTTATCTATTGCAGCAGCAAAATATTCCTTTTCTTGCATTTATAACATACAATGAACTAGCGAAAGTGTCAAGAATAAATTTTTTTTAGTAGGTTAATGCATTTGATAAAACATTCCCGCAAGTACCGTTCCGTGATTCATCTGTTTTGAGTGCATTAATAAATATAATAATAAATGAATGTAATTGCATAAGCTTCAATTTAGAAGAGAATAGAATGGCAGACAAGTGAATTAGATAAATAGCTTGACAAGTGCGATAGACAGGTGTGATAAATATCGTACATGAGAATCACTTAGTTCTGATGACGTTAATGCGTATATGGTGCTTTCACCGGTACTCATCAAGCACGTCGTCTTGGACACGCACAAACGCACCGCTCAGCATAATTGATAGCTATTCTGATGGTGGACGAGTGTGTGCACGGGGGCGATGCGGACTCGTCGCTAGCAACGCGAGAGAGATTTCCGGAATGAAACCTGACAGGCGTATCCCCTATATCAGGCTTTTCAACCGCTCCCTCTTGACAGTTATTGCAACGTTTCGAGAATACATATATATCCGATAAAATTATTACAAGCAGCTGTGAGTATTTTTTTCTTTCTTTCTCTCACTCTTTGATGCTAAAGCTTACTCTTAGGATCTGGGTGTAAAAATTATTATGTTTCGAGAGCATCACGCTCTACCCCCCACATGCACTTACACGCTCTCCTCATAATTCTTGTTCTCAGCGGGGGCAGAACAATTTTACTCTCATAACTCTACATATTCACATATTTATATACGATAACATTTTTTCTACTCTATCTAAGTGACAGAGAATTAATGACAAACAGAGTATTATTGTCGACGACATAAGATAGAGTGCGAGCTAGACACATTCTGACATAATGAATGTCAGCTCAAGCTCGCTTTGTGTCGATTCATACTACAAGACGTATGATGTGTGTTATTGTTCTTTTCTGTATAGTATTAATCTTCAAGAAAAATACGTTTTCAAGAAAAATAACCATTGTTTGACACAAAAGTGTTTTAATCATTAAATGTTTTTTAACGACAGTCTTTTGTAAGTCCATTACCTCAGTCATTGGCTTTTTTAACATTTACTTTTTTTAAGATGTTTTTTTGTATTTGTTGAATGAAATTTGCTGAAAGCGAATATTAATTACAGTATTTTGAGTTAAAATTGAAAGAAAAATAATTCATTTAAAGAGTCAATTAAACATAAAAATTCAATAATTTGACCCATTAGTTATTAACTAAATGAAAGAGTTTATATTTTTAGAATTATTCAACACAAAAAAATTGCTTTTATTAAAAATTAATTGTCTTCAGCTGGTATATTATCTACTTTTAGTTCATACACTCTATATTTTTTTTGATCACATAACAATAAATTGCAACGAATTTATTTTTTAAGCTAACTTTAATTTATATTTATTCAAATCCAAAAAATAGTGTATTAAAAAGTTAAGGTTCATTTTTAAAATCATCACTAATAGGTGTAATATCAGATTTATTACTTCAGATTTATGTCAGTAAGCTTTAAATTTGTTTTACCCAAAGTTACATCTAAAATTAATATTTATTTATCTCGTCCTTATTTTTCAACTATTTTGTAATACCTTTTTATTGTCGATCATCACTCGACTATTCGTCACTATACACTCAGACTGAAAGAAAATTGATGCTAGTTTTGGATTACCCGCACTTTGTGAAATACGATCAGAGGGTGTCTGTCTGTTTGTGATTCTCTGTAGCCAATGTAATAAGTCAACAGTCTCTGTAATTTGACGTTGAATGGTGGAAAAAATGCTTAATTTCTGGAAAAACATTTTGGTAAATTAAGTTCCTCTGTAATTCTCGGAAAATTTATTATTTTCTTATCGTTCTTTCAATACCCTCATTAATTTGGATTTGTTTAGCAGCCAAGAAAAAACAGATAAATGTGAGCATTGGAAAAATTCAGTTTATATTTTTTATTTAAAAATACACACGTTAAGTTGATGTGAATATTAGTTTTATTTTTTAGAAATTTTTTAGAAAATTAGTTTTAATCTTCAGTAGCATTGGATATTAATCATTTATTATTTTCTTAATGAAAAAATCGATTTAATTGGTAAAAAAAATATATTTATTTATCTTCAGCCCGAAATATTAAAAAATTGCTTCAAAAAAAACTGTCTGGCATTTTAAGTGAGAATAAAAAATTTTTATTATACATTTTCGGTTTAATTAGTTTGGTACTCGATCAAATTGAATAATTGAGATAATCTCATATATCCGGTTGAAATCGATTCAATTAAACTGAAAAATTAATCATTTCACTCAAATATGCAATTGAATGAATCATATATTTTAGAATAATTGTTTTGAAATAAAAAATATGTTTCAAGAATTTGATTAATACTATTTAACATATTTAATATATTTGTTAAATAAATAATGTCAAGCTTAAATTTCATAATGTTATCAATACAACTATTTTACAATACATTAGTTCAGCAAATATACAAATTGTAAATAAAAGCGAAAAAAAAATATATAAATTTTATAAAATTATCTTTTTTCTGGTAACTTGTTAAAAAAATTCTTTGTTGTATTTTTCTCTTAATTATCTATTTTTTGTATCAGGCAACATTTGCATTAATTGAAAAAAAAATCACGTACGAGTTTAAAATCAAATTATTTTAAAATAAAAAAAGTCCATTGGAAAAAAAAAACAGTATTGTAATTAACAAAAAAATGAGGAAACTGTCCAAAAAATCGCCCTGTAAACATAGTAATTGGAATGGAATTTCATCAATGTTTTCACATGACCAATTAACAATGCAAATGAAGCTCAATGGCGCCAATAGAAGCGTTTTTCGAGTCATTAAACGCTCATGAAATTGGGGAAAATTATGGACGGACGGCCATTGTTAAAGTGCATAATTCTTGATCGGTATACATAAAGGTACATAAGGTGTGTTGTGCATGTATAGAGATGTATACGCAAGTGGAGAAGAGCAAAACGTTATAGTAGTGAACATATAATTCAACGGTCTTGTGGAGATCAGCATACGTCGCGTGTTATTTACAATTGGCGGGGATTTATGTGGATCTGGGCCGGATGAGGGTAGGCAGGCATATATAGGAGGATAGGTACCTCGATGGCGCAAGTATAGAGACGAGAGGAAAGGGGATAACAGGCGAGCGATGCTCGTGGCCGCCTTGCCAGCCAATTCCCGGCGGCTCGCTATATTTACGAGACCCATAAAGTAACGTGCACGGCCGCGTATATTGCCGCGTAAATATCAGCTTATGGAAATATAGAGCTCAATATCTGCCTGGTTGCCTTTCTTCCCCCTCGTTCGTACCGTTTAACTCAAAACTTGCCCCTTATACCGTGACTTTCAGTGTTTTGTCTACTCGGGGAAAAGGTAAAATTCACTGCAATATATTTTAAAGGCTTCATAATGCGGCCCATTTGGCTAATATTCTCCATCAGTCATCATTCATAATGCCGTAACTTCTATTTTATGTTCATTATCTGCTGTATTTAATGGCCATATTTCAGCAATTAACACTGTATTCACGCTGATTTATGTTGATTGAAAACTGCCTGACCCTAAATTTAGTTCACATTATTTTTATTTTCATCTTTCAGCTGTTATTGTTATTGGGTTTGCGAGGAAATTCTTTGAAGAAGATTTTTCTTTTGTTTGACTGTGAGCTTTTTGGAGTTTGAGAGTTCTTCTCTTAAACCTCAATGACTTAATACATCAATAAGTTTGTAGGATATTGAGTAC